TCAGGTATTCTCTGATCCATTGCAGTGCCTTTCCTGTTATGTGTGCCTGATCCTCTAGCTTTTGCAGTAACCTCTTGTGAGGAACTGTGTCGAAGGCCTTTTTGCAGTCCAAAAAAATGCAGTCGATCCACCCCTCTCTCTCTTGTCTTCTGTCACCTTGTCCTAAAACTCTAGTAGGTTTGTGACACAGGATTTTCCTTCCCTGAAACCGTGCTGGTTGTCAATTATACACTTGTTTCTTTCCAGGTGCTCCACCACTCTCCTCCTGATGATCTTCTCCATGACCTTGCATACTATACACGTTAGTGATACAGGTCTGTAGTTTAGTGCCTCATGTCTGTCTCCCTTTTTAAAAATTCGGACTACATTTGCCATGTGTGTGTGTGTGTGTGTGTGTGTGTGTACTCACCTATTTGCACTCATCTATCTGTGGTTGCAGGGTCGAGTCATAGCTCGTGGCTCCGCCTCTTCACTGATCGTTATTAGGCCCACCCTCTCTCTCTCCCTGCTCCATGAGATTTATCAAACCTCGTCTTGAAACTATGTATGGTTCCTGACTCCACTACATCACTTGTCAGACTATTCCACTGCCTGACAACTCTATAACTAAATAAATATTTTCTAACATTCCTTTGAATAATCTGAGTCTTCAACTTCCAATTGTGACCCCTTGTTTCTGTGTCCCGTCTCTGCAACATCCCGTCCTTTCCCACCGTGTCAATTCCTCGTAGTATTTTGAATGTTGTTATCATGTCTTCCCTAACCCTCCTGTCCTCCAGCGTCGTCAGGCTGATTTCCCTTAACCTCTCTTCGTATGGCAGTCCCCTCAGCTCTGGGACAAGTCTTGTTGCAAACCTAAGCAATTTCTCTAATTTCTTGACTTGCTTGACAAGGTGTGGGTTCCAAATTGGTGCTGCATACTCCAGTATGGGCCTGACGTGCATGGTATACAGAGACTGAGGTATCGGAACGCTATTCTTAGGTTTGCCAGGTGCCCATAAGCTGCAGCAGTTATCTGATTGATGTGCGCCTCAGGAGATGTGCTCGGTATTATACTCACCCCAAGACCTTTTTCCTTGAGTGAGGTTTGCAGTCTTTGGCCACCTAAACTGTGGTCTTCTTTGCCCTTCCCCAATCTTCACGACTTTGCATTTGGTAGGGTTAAACTCAAGTAGCCAGTTGCTGGACCAGGCTTGTAGCCTGTCCAGGTCTCTTTGTAGTCCTGCCTGATCCTCATCCGGTGTAATTCTCCTTATTAATTTCACATCATCTGCAAACAGGGACACTTCTGAGTCTATCCCTTCCGTCATGTCATTCACATATACCAATAACAGCACAAGCTCTAGGAATGACCCCTGTGGAACGCCGCTCGTCACAGGCGCCCACCTTGACTCTTCGTCACGTCCCATGACTCGTTGTTGCTTCCCTGTCAGATATTCCCTGATCCATTGCAGTGCCTTTCCTGTTATAAGTGCCTGATCCTCTAGCCTTTGCATTAACCTCTTTTGAGGAGCTGTGTCGAAGGCCTCCTTGCAGTTCAAGAAAATGCAGCCTATCCACCCCTCTCTATCGTGTCTTACTTCCGTTACCTTGTCATAAAATTCCAGCAGGTTGTGACACTGGATTTTCCTTCCCTGAAATCGTGCTGGTTGTCGTTCATAACCTTGAATCTTTCTAGGTGCTCCACTAGTCTCCTCCTGATAATCTTCTCCATGGTTTTGCATACTATACACTTCAGTAACACAGATCTGTAGTTTAATGCCTCGTGTTTTTCTCGTTTCTTAAAAATTGGGACTACATTTCCCATCTTCCATTACCTCAGGTAGTTGCCCAGTTTCACTGGATGTGTTGAAGATTTTTGTTAGTGACACACACAGCATCTCTGCTCCCTCTCTTTGGACCCACGGAGAGATGTTGTCCTGTCCCACCGCCTTTGAGATATCAAGTTCACATAGCAGCTTCTTCACCTCCTCCTCATTTGTGTGTATTTCATCTAACATTTGTTGGTGTATCCATATTCTCATTTCCTGGAGTCCTTCCTGTTTCCATTGAAAATACTTCTTTAAATCTTATGTTGAGCTCCTTACATACCTCTTGGTCATTTCTTGTGAACACCCTACCTTCCTTCCTCAGCCTGATTACCTGGTCCTTGACTTTTGTTTTCCTCCTGATGTGGCTATTCAACAGCTTTGGGTCAGATTTGTCTTTCGATGTTATGTCATTTTCGTATTGTCGCTTCTTATCTGTGCATATTCGTTTCTGGCTCATGGGCTAATCTCTTTACTTTCCTGGGTTCTTTGTCTTCTGTTCTTTTTCCATTCTCTAGTGCAGTTAGTTTTTGCCTCCCTACACTTTTAGGAGAACCAAGGACTCGTTCTGGTCTTCCCATTATTTCTGTTGCCCTTGGGAACAAACCTCTCCTCTGTCTTCATGCATTTCGTTGTCACATAGTACATCATTTATTTTACTGGTTTTCCTACCAGTTCTCTTTCCCACTAAACATCTTGCAGGACGTTTCTCATGCCTGTGTAGTCCCCTTTATGTAATTTGGCTTCTCCCATCCTATTCCTGCTACCCTCTCCACTTGTAGCTTAATTATGTATTCAAAGCTCAGAACCACGTGATCAGTAGCTCCAACTGGCCTTCCGTACGTGATATCCTCGATGTCCGAACTTCAAGGAGATTACTATGCCCAGTTTTCCTGGTTCATCCTCACCTCCCTCTCTGGTAGTGTCTGTAGCATGTTGATTCATGAGGTTTTCCAGTACCACATCCATCAAATTGGCTTTCCTGTTTCAGGACCCTCATGGGGCTCCAGGTTTTCCCGGTCAATTTCCTTGTGACTGAAATCACCCATAACTCGTAACTTTGCTCTACCCATGTGAGCTCTTCTGGCCACCTCGGCTAGTGTCCACCATTGCTCTGTTGCTCTCCTCGTATTCTTCTCTTCGCCTCCTGCAGTTCTGTGGCCGGCTGCAATTACCACCTTACGACCCCAGACTGGAATGTTCCTTCTATATAGTCCCTTTCGCCCATTCCATCCATTCCTTCCAATTTCTCAGATCCCCACCAGTTTCTAATGAGCAGTGCTCATTAGAAACTGGTGGGGGATCTGCTCCCTCTATCTTTTCTCAGGACCTGATATCTGGGTGGAAAGATTGCATCTGTTATCATCCTGGTGAGTTTCGTTTCTGTGAGTGCTATTATGTCTGAGGATATCTCCTTGAATCTTTCATGTCACTCTTCACATTTATTTGTTATTTCATCTGCATTTGTATACCAAACCTTCAATTTCTTTTCTAAAACTGTGGGGCACGTTGGGGTTGGGGAAGTGGGAGACCCGACGAGGAACTCTGGGGGCTTCTACTGTCCATCTCCATCTTTGTCTCTCTTTCCTCCTTTCATCTTCGTACCCTCTCTATCAGTTTCTGCATTTCTTCTCGTGTTCTCTCATGGTCGAGATACACCCTCTGGTATGCCGACATGTTTCTTAGTCGTGCTTTCTCCTGCAGGATCCTGTTTCCAGCCGATTCTGCCTTGAAAATCACTTTGACCAGCCGGTTTCTTCCTCTTGCAAACTCCCCTATTCTCAGAAAATTTGCCAACAGGGTCATGTCGTCTTCTCCTATTGCTCCGGAACTAGTCTTATTGCAAACCTATGCACTTTCTCTAGTTTCTTTACGTGCTTGGCTAGGTGTGGGTTCCAAACTGGTGCTGCATACTCCATTATGGGTCTAACGCACACAGTGTACAGGGTCCTGAACGATTCCTTATTGAGATGTCGGAATGCTGTTCTTAGGTTTGCTAGGCGCCCGTATGCTGCAGCAGTTATTTGGTTTATGTGCACCTCAGGAGATGTGCTCAGTGTTATACTCACCCAAGATACTTTTCCTTAAGTGAGGATTATAGTCTTTGAGCCCCCTAGAGTGCACTCCGTCTGCGGTCTTCTTTGCCCTTCCTCACTCTTCATGACTTTGCACTTGGTGGGGTTGAACTCCAGGAGCCAGTTGCTGGAACAGGCCTGCAGCCTATCAAGATCCCTTTGTAGTTCTGCCTGATCCTCGTCCGATTGAATTCTTCTCATCAACTTCACATCATCTGCAAACAGGAACATTGAGTCTATTCCTTCCGTCATGTAGTTCACAAATACCAGAAACAGCTGCACCAGTTCTAGGACTGATCCCTGTGGAACCCCGCTCGTCACAGGCGCCCACTCTGACACCTCGTCACTTACCATGACTCGCTGTTGTCTTCGTGTGTGTGTGTGTGTGTGTGTGTGTGTGTGTGTGTGTGTGTGTGTGTGTGTGTGTGTGTGTGTGTGTGTGTGTGTGTGTGTGTGTGTGTGTGTGTGTGGGTGTGTGTGTGTGTGTGTGTGTGTGTGTGTGTGTGTGTGTGTGTGTGGGTGTGTGTGTGTGTGTGTGTGGATGGGTTGGTGGGTGGGTGGGTCGGTGGGCGGGTGTGTATGTACACGCCTATTTGTGGTTGCAGGAGTCAATTTAAATCTCCTGGCCCCATCTCTTTGCTGGTCGCTACTAGTTCTCTCTCTCTCTCTGGCTTCGAGAACCTTATCGTACCTTTATTTTAAGCCTATATATGGCTCCTGCCTCTACTCCTTCGTTCTCCAAGTCGTTCCACTTCCTGACTATTCTAAGGCTGAAAAAATACTTCATAACGTCCCTGTTTCTCATCTGAGTTTTTATTTCCAGGAGTGCCTCATGTTCCTGTTTTCCATCTCTCAAACAAGTTGTCTTTATCCACCTTATAAATTCCTCTCAGTATTTTGTACATTGTTATTATATCCCCCCTTCCCTAGGCCTTTATTCCTCCTGTGTCATCAGGTTTGAGTTCCCTTAACTTCCCTTCATAAGACACACCACTTAGCCCGGGACTAGGCTCGTTCCAGTCTTTTATTGTATTATTTTTATTAGGCAGGAACGACAATTGTCGTTCTTGAAAGCATGATATTCAGCGCATTCCTCCTACACCCACTGAGCATCTGGGTTCCCATTCTCTATTTCTGACCAATCACAAGCCTTCCCTGAGTCGCTCCAGCTAAGTGGTGATGGCTTCTGCTCGCTTCCCATTGGTTGAGAGACCAAAATGTAAACACTTCTAGCTTGGCGTCGCCGAGAGACGTTTTTTAATCGAGTGACACTCATATACCCTTGGATTTTACCCTCTACAAAGTCGGTAAGTACTCATTTGTGTCTCTAGTGTGTAAATGAATAGTTTAGGCATATTTTGATATATATATATATATATATATATATATATATATATATATATATATATATATATATATATATATATATATATATATATATATATATATATATATATATATATATATATATATATGAAGTCTGTGTGAAGCATAATGTGAGTGCACCATGCAAAGGAAAAAAGTGCAACAAAAAAAGACCGATATATATCGTTTTTGCCTATTTGGGCCCAATTTTAATTTTCAGTAAATAAATATTTATAAAAAAAAATTTAATGCATATATCAATTCTGTAGTAGTCTGGGTGTGTACAGAACGTTTTTATTGTCCTTCCAGATCCATCAGAAATTGTTTTATGGTGAGCCCTCCAAAGACAAGTCCAAATATCTCTGCATTTTGGAGGAAAGTGACTCAGATCCAGAGCCAGATCACCAGGAATTGCTTGACAGTAGTGATGAGTGCTTGCCACAGGATGCTGAGGTGTCAAGTGATGATGAGGAGGAAGATAGACCATCCAAAAAGCCAAAATTCTCACAGGCCAGTGCCAGGCAAGCTACTTAGATGATAATTGTGCAGCAAACACAAACATCATGTCACATCCTCATTTTCCTTTGCCATATGCAAAGTAAATATATACATCAAGAAGGATAGAAATTGTACAAATTAGTGATCTAGAATGATTATTCTTTCTTAGGAAACTCAGGAATGTGGGAATTGAAAGTTATATCCCTTTGCAATGTGCCTATGTTGCTACTTGATTCATTTTTGTATTTTTTAATACTTACAAAATGTTTGAAAACAAGTTTAATTTATGTCTTTGATATTGTCTTTTTGTATAATAAAATTAAAAAATAGTTATTTGGTGTTTTATTAACAATTGCAACTTTGCAACATTTAAAAATGTTCACCCTTAGATAGGCAAGACCTACTTTTGTCGGTCTTCTCATATTGGCAATTGATTGAAAACAAACTTTCACACATTCTGACTCAAGAAATCGTAATGACACGATTGCAAACAAACCATACCCCCGGCCGGGATTGAACCCGCCACTTGAGCTAGAGTTCGTCACGGCCACGCTAGCTGGAGATTCGTCTGTAAAAACTTACATTTGTGGTCACAGAGGTGCCTGTGCTAACCTTCCTATGGTGTAGAAATATACCTAGTTGGATAAATCTTATTGTGGCTAGCTGGTCCAGTGGCTAACGCGACGGGCTGGAGTTTTGAGACTATGACCGCGGGTTCAATCCCGGCCGGGGGTATGGTTTCACATATTCCTTTGTATGGGCTCATTTACTTTATATTGAGACACACTATCCACTCATAGGGAAAAAACATTTAAAAATTCGCAATTTTCGTTTTTGCCTACCAAAGGGTTAATTAATAATAATAATAATACTTATGTCAGTATTATTATTATTATTATTATTATTATTATTATTATTATTAATATTATTATTTAAGTCAGGGGTTATAAATCTAAACTAAAATACTAAAATACGTAATTTTATTAACAAATTAATTGAATGAAAAAAGTATATTATTTTGTGTTTGTAAAATTATAAAGAAAAGCATGAAGAGATTGTTAAGAAAGTGTTGGATCCCGTTCTAGTATATCCGAGGCTCCTAGAGAGTGTTGGATCTCCTTCTCTTATTTTATATCTTCCAGAGAGTGCTGGATCCTATTCCGTTCTCTTTAAAGCCTGCTACAGAGTGTTGGATCCCATTCCGTTCTCTCAAGGCCCGGTGGCCTGGTGGCTAAAGCTCCCGCTTCACACACGGAGGGCCCGGGTTCGATTCCCGGCGGGTGGAAACATTCGACACGTTTCCTTACACCTGTTGTCCTGTTCACCTAGCAGCAAATAGGTACCTGGGTGTTAGTCGACTGGTGTGGGTCGCATCCTGGGGGACAAGATTAAGGACCCCAATGGAAATAAGTTAGACAGTCCTCGATGACGCACTGACTTTCTTGGGTTATCCTGGGTGGCTAACCCTCCGGGGTTAAAAATCCGAACGAAATCTTATCTTAGAAGCTCTTTGAGAGTATTGGATCCCGTACTGGTGTGTGCAAGACGACGGACAGTTAGGTTAGGTGAGGCAACGGATATAATTAGTGCCCCAGTTATCATGCGTGCTGAGGCATGATATTAAATCATTTTTACAGCTGCTGAGATAATATCGTTAGTGGCGGTGCCTGAGTGGCAGCAACCAGCTGAGTGGCAGTAACCAGCTGAGTGGCAGTACCAGCTGAGTAACAGTAACCAGCTGAGTGACAGCAACCAGCTGAGTGACAGTACCAGCTGAGTGGCAGTAACAAGCTGAGTGACAGTACCAGCTAAGTGGCAGTAACCAGCTGAGTGGCAGCAACCAGCTGAGTGGCAGCAACCAGCTGAGTGGCAGTAACCAGCTGAGTGGCAGTACCAGCTGAGTAACAGTAACCAGCTGAGTGGCAGCAACCAGCTGAGTGACAGTACCAGCTCAGTGGCAGTAACCAGCTGAGTGACAGTACCAGCTAAGTGGCAGTAACCAGCTGAGTGGCAGCAACCAGCTGAGTGGCAGTAACCAGCTGAGTGGCAGCAACCAGCTAAGTGACAGTAACCATCTGAGTGGCAGCAGCCAGCTGAGTTGCAGTAACCAGCTGAGTGACAGTATCCAGCTGAGTGGCAGTAACCAGCTGAGTGACAGTAACCAGCTAAGTGGCAGTAACCAGCTGAGTGGCAGCAACCAGCTGAGTGGCAGTAACCAGCTGAGTGACAGTATCCAGCTAAGTGGCAGTAACCAGCTGAGTGGCAGCAACCAGCTGAGTTGCAGTAACCAGCTGAGTGACAGTATCCAGCTGAGTGGCAGTAACCAGCTGAGTGACAGTAACCAGCTAAGTGGCAGTAACCAGCTAAGTGGCAGTAACCAGCTGAGTGACAGTAACCAGCTAAGTGGCAGCAACTAGCTAAGTGGCAGTAACCAGCTGAGTGGCAGCAACCAGCTGAGTGGCAGTAACCAGCTGAATGACAGTATCCAGCTGAGTGGCAGTAACCAGCTGAGTGACTAACCAGCTGAGTGGCAGTAACCAGCTGAGTGACAGTAACCAGCTGAGTGGCAGTAACCAGCTGAGTGACAGTAACCAGCTAAGTGGCAGTAACCAGCTGAGTGGCAGCAACCAGCTGAGTGGCAGTAACCAGCTGAGTGACAGTATCCAGCTGAGTGGCAGTAACCAGCTGAGTGACAGTAACCAGCTAAGTGGCAATAACCAGCTGAGTGGCAGTAACCAGCTGAGTGACAGTAACCAGCTGAGTGGCAGCAACCAGCTGAGTGGCAGCAACCGGATGAGTAACAGTAACCAGCTGAGTGGCAGCAACCAGCTGAGTGGCAGTAACCAGCTGAGTGGCAGTAACCAGCTGAGTGACAGTAACCAGCTGAGTGGCAGCAACCAGCTGAGTGGCAGTAACCAGCTGAGTGGCAGTACCAGCTGAGTCACAGTACCAGCTGAGTAACAGTAACCAGCTGAGTGACAGTAACCAGTTGAGCGGCAGCAACCAGCTGAGTGACAGTAACCAGCTGAGTGGCAACAACCAGCTGAGTGGCAGTAACCAGCTGAGTGGCAGTAACCAGCTGAGTGACAGTACCAGCTGAGTAACAGTAACCAGCTGAGTGACAGTACCAGCTGAGTAACAGTAACCAGCTGAGTGGCATTAACCAGATGAGTGACAGTACCAGCTGAGTGACAGTACCAGCTGAGTGGCAGCAACCAGTTGAGCGGCAGCAACCAGCTGAGTGACAGTAACCAGCTGAGTGGCAACAACCAGCTGAGTGGCAGTAACCAGCTGAGTGGCAATAACCAGCTGAGTGACAGTACCAGCTGAGTGACAGTAACCAGCTGAGTGGCAGTAACCAGCTGAGTGGCAGTAACCAGCTGAGTGGCAGTAACCAGCTGAGTGGCAGTAACCAGCTATGTGGCAGTAACCAGCTGAGTGGCAGTAACCAACTGAGTGGCAGTAACCAGCTGAGTGACAGTACCAGCTGAGTGACAGTACCAGCTGAGTGGCAGTAACCAGCTGAGTAGCAGTAACCAGCTGAGTGGCAGTAACCAGCTTAGTGGCAATAACTAGCGGAGAGACAGTAACCAGCTGAGTGACAACCAGCTGAGTGATAGTAACCCGCTGAGTGAAAGCAACCAGCTGAGCCTAAGCAACCAGCTGAGCCTCAGTAACCAGCTGAGCGATAATAACTAGCTGAGTAACGGTAACCAGCTGAATGACAGTAACCAACTGAGTGGCAATAGCCAGCTGAGCGACAGTAACCAGCTGAGTGACAGTAACCAGCTGAATGACAGTAACCAGCTGAGTGGCAGTAATCACCTGAGTGACAGTAACCAGCTGAGTGACAGTAACCAGGTGAGTGACAGTAACCAGCTGAGTGACAGTAACCAGCTGAGTGGCAGTAACCAGCAGAGTGGCAGTAACCAGCTGAGTGACAGTAACCAGCTGAGTGACAATAACCAGCTGAGTGACAGTAACCAGCTGAGTGGCAGTAACCAGCTGAGTGGCAGTAACCAGCTGAGTGACAGTAACCAGCTGAGTGACAGTAACCAGCTGAGTGGCAGTAACCAGCTGAGTTGCAGTAACCAGCTGAGTGGCAGTAACCAGCTGAGTGGCAGTAACCAGCTGAGTGACAGTAACCAGCTGAGTGGCAGTAACCAGCTGAGTGACAGTAACCATCTGAGTGGCAGTAACCAGCTGAGTGGCAGCAACCAGCTGAGTGGCAGTAACCAGCTGAGTGGCAGTAACCAGCTGAGTGGCAGTAACCAGCTGAGTGACAGTAACCAGCTGAGTGACAGTAACCAGCTGAGTGGCAGTAACCAGCTGAGTGACAGTAACCAGCTGAGTGACAGTAACCAGCTGAGTGACAGTAACCAGCTGAGTGACAGTAACCAGCTGAGTGACAGTAACCAGCTGAGTGGCAGTAACCAGCTGAGTGACAGTAACCAGCTGAGTGACAGTAACCAGCTGAGTGGCAGTAACCAGCTGAGTGGCAGTAACCAGCTGAGTGGCAGTAACCAGCTGAGTGGCAGTAACCAGCTGAGTGACAGTAACCAGCTGAGTGGCAGTAACCAGCTGAGTGACAGTAACCAGCTGAGTGACAGTAACCAGCTGAGTGGCAGTAACCAGCTGAGTGGCAGTAACCAGCTGAGTGGCAGTAACCAGCTGAGTAGCAATAACCAGCTGAGTGACAGTAACCAGCTGAGTGGCAGTAACCAGCTGAGTGACAGTAACCAGCTGAGTGGCAGTAACCAGCTGAGTAGCAATAACCAGCTGAGTGACAGTAACCAGCTGAGTGGCAGTAACCAGCTGAGTGACAGTAACCAGCTGAGTGGCAGTAACCAGCTGAGTAGCAATAACCAGCTGAGTGACAGTAACCAGCTGAGTGACAGTAACCAGCTGAGTGGCAGTAACCAGCTGAGTGGCAGTAACCAGCTGAGTGACAGTAACCAGCTGAGTGACAGTAACCAGCTGAGTGACAGTAACCAGCTGAGTAGCAGTAACTAGTCTTTGTTTATACATTAGGTTAGGTAATATTTGTCAGAAAAAGGACAAGTGTTTCCTGACGCGAGTCATATGATGACTCGCAGCTGGAGCTTTTGGTCGTCTAACTGAGGCCTTCAGCTGGCTTACCATTACCCTCCACCCCTTTAAAAACTATGCTTATGATCGTGTTTACACTCGTTTGGACACGAGTTGAGGGAGAGTTACTACGCTCAGTACCGGGGTGCAGGTGCGCTGGCCCTACGCTCTCTGCAGGGCCCGGCCATGTGATTGCTATATGATTCTCTAAATATAGAAAAACCTGACGTTTACCTTGGCTTTGT